TCCACACCTGGCTGGCAATATTTGAAGAGTCTAAAATTAGCCCTGGCAATCAGTGGACATAGATAGTCCCCGACGTACAACATTTCTTTTACTGACTGTTTGAAGTTAACAACAGCACTGAAAGAAATGGAATTGGGACCGTTTTCCACACTTAGTGACCGCTGTACCCTCTCCACGGTCGCGTGATCAAAATTCGGACGCTAGGCAAATTGACTCATATTTATGACGGTGGCAGTGTCCCGGGGTCCTATGATCCCCTTTTGCGACCTTCTGCCAAGCAAAGTCAATGGGGAAGCCGGATTCGCTTAACAACCCGTGTTACTTAACTTGACAACTACAGTGATTCACTTAACGGCTGTGGCAAGAAAGGTCGTAAAACGCGGCTAAACTCACTTAACAAATGGCTTCTGAAGAGAAACATTGAGCTCCATCGTGGTTGTAAAGTCGAGGACTACTGTGGAGAAATATTTTCAGAGTAGTATCTTTTTATTAAAACAATACATGTCGTAGCTGCTTTTCTCCATTCTCTGCCGTTTAAAGCAGGGCCTCTGGTGTGTTTTGGGCGACTGCTTTGGGATATGGGATGGGGGGGGTGTCACACAAAATGGTTGCCAGGGCAACCGGCTGCCTGTTCACCTACCACCACTCCCAAACTACAGGTCCTTTAGCAAACAATCATTTAGCGACCATTCAAAATTATCCCAAAGGTGTTTTTTCAGGCAAGTGGACTGTCTTGGTTTTCTTTGAAGACATTTCGCTTCCCATCCAAGAAGCTTCTTCAACTCTCTTTCAGAGTTATGATTTACCCTTTCCAGAGATGCTTATGATCCAGTTCTGGAGTTCTAGACAGCTGTACCCCCCATGGTCCAGTGACCCCGTTTCAAACGCTCAGCAGCTGGCCTGCATTCATGGCTGTTTGCAGCACATTTTATGATGTTTTCTGCCCCAAACCAGCATTTACTTCCAGTTCCGATAAAGGAGAACAATTATACCTCAGCGTTAAAATGAGGGGTCCTTGGTGCTCTCTGAGCTTTTACGTATCCTTGCAGATGTTTCATTACCCAAACTAAGTAACATAACAGAATTAACAAGAGTTGGGAGGGACCTTGGAGGTAGTCCAAGCTCCTGCTCAAGCAGGAAACCATTCAAAATGGTTGTCCAATTTTTTCTTAAAAGCTTCCAGCGGTGGAGTATCCACAACTTTTGGAGGCAAGCTGTTCCACTAATTGTTTCAACTGTCAGCACCTGGTTCTGGAGTTCCAAAGGCCGCACCTCTCTCTCCACGGCCACATTGGGTGCATAACATTTAACGACTGTCTTGCTTAGCAACAGACATTTTGGGCTCAATTACGGTCGTAAGTCGAGGACCACCTGTACCTGAGGAGAGAGATTTTTGGATTTTCCCTCCTCTCTGTTGCAATGGCAAATGTGCCTGTTTTCCACCCTTCTGGCTGTCAGCATAGCTTCTAGCACAGCGGTTCTCAACCTATGGGTTGCGACCCCATTTGGGGTCGATCGACCATTTCACGGGGGTCGCCAAGCAAGGCTGTCCGCCATTTTTTTTCCCCTTTTCCGGTGGGTGCCTTACCTCCCTTGGGCTGGGCCAGCTGGTGGTCGGCCTGCTCCGTCTCTGCCGCTTGCCAGCTACACCTCGGCCGGCGCAGGGGGCGGAACCACGCATGCACGGTGCTCCCGGGCAGGAAAAGTCCTCGACTTACGACCGGTTGGGTAGTCCTCGACTTATGACCGGTTGGGGTCGCGGCATTAAAAAGGTTGAGAACCACTGTTCTAGCAGGAGCTGCACTTCCTGGAATGACCAAGCAGATGCTTAATCAAATTGCTCTCCAGGAAGACGTAGGGTACAATTTGGTCCTCCTATGGCAGTGATGGCGAACCTATGGCACGGGTGCCAGAGGCAGCACTCGGAGCCCTCTCTGTGGGCACACGTGCCGTTGCCCCAGCTTTGCCTCCCCCTGCGACCCCCTCCTCGCCAGCAGGCCCCCCTGGAGGAGAGTCACCCCCGAGCATGGCCCACGCGAGCAGCGCAGCCAAGGACATGGCAGACAGACCGTGTAGACAAGATTCTGCCCTCACGCCCCATTGCGCACAGTTGATGCTGCGGGGGACGGGCAGAGGGTGTGGCCATGGCGCTGCTGGGTGGTCTGCGGCAGCCCAGGAGGCGGTGAGTGGCCCCGCGGGCAGGTGGGGTGGCGGCGGGGCAGGGGCAGTTTTTGGGCACTCGGTCTCTAAAAGGTTCGCCATCACTGTCCTATGGATTAGTACCAATCTGCTTCAGGTTGTGTCACACAGATAAAGAGATCTAGAACTTTATATTGTTTGATGGGTGGCTGTCCCAAATTTCAGGAAAAAAAAAGATTCCCCCCACCTCACCCCCCATATTACAGAGTTGTCACTTTGTGCCCTGACCTCCTCCCCCCCATCATGGAGCAAAGAAGGTACATTCTGGGATAAGGGTTGGGTGGGACGTGCAATGATTGGCTATTAGAATGATCAATCAACACGTGGCAACACTGAGCACCGCCTCTCAGTTTGTCTCAGAGATGGGAGTGACTGGAGTGGTCTATTGGAAGGAGGGTTGGGGGGGAACTTGGAGTACAGGCCCTAAAGCTATTTTTTGTGTTGTTTTTTAAAAAAATTTAATAATGACTTTTCGTATTTTTATAACTATTGTTTCTATATGTTGTTTTTAATGATTACTGTACATAATCATTACATTGTGAGATGGGTAGCCGTATAAATGTAATTAATAAAATTTCCATGTGCAGGAGAGAAGTTTTATGAATAGATCTATCAACTAGGGCAGGGGAAGGCCACCTTGACTCTTTTATGACTCGTGGACTTCAACTCCCAGAATTCCTGAGCCAGCCATGCTGAGGGTAAAGGGAGAGGTTTCCAAGCTGAGCCAAGCTGGCTCAGGAATTCTGGGAGTTGAAGTCCACGAGTCATAAAAGAGCCAAGGTTGACTACCCCTGATCTAGGGCCAGAAAAGGACTGACTTCCTTGAGACTCTACATTATAGACTTCAATTCCCAGAATTCCCCAGTATGTAATTTTTTGTTTGTTTTTAATCTTTAAGGTTTTTAATTATTTTTTTAATTTGGTACGCTGGCCAGAGTCCATTGGAGTTGAGCCGCCAACAAATTTAAATAAATAATAAACACTTAAGGTTACCGAGATGTCAATGAAGCGTGAGCCAACAGCGTGTTGCAGTTGACAAGATAGCCAATGCAATCTTGCGCTGCATCAAAAGAGGTACACACAACCCCTCTCCTCATTTAGCAACCGTAATCCGTTTCTTAAATTGGAAGCGAAATGGTCACTAAGGAAAATGGTCGCCAAGCACAAGTGTGACGGAGAGAGAGAGAGAGAGAGAGAGAAAGATAAATACTGTGAAGATCCCTGGTTGTGGCGTTTCATTTTTAGATTAAAGTTCTCGTTACTCTTGCTCTGGTGTGTGTTCTTGTCTGCGCACAAAATTCAGTTGCAACCGCACCTCCTGGTCAGAAGATGATTTTTAAAAAAAAAAAAAAAATTACCATCATATTTAATGAGATTGGTCATAAAGAAGATGTTGAGATTGTGAGAACTGATCGGTCTATTTTATACCACATTACTCAAAACATATTTGGAAGGATGTGCCAGTTGTGATCATTATAATACAAGAGGGAGGGAAAGATCCTGGAAAGACTTGAGGAGAGCCACAAAGTGGGTTGTGAACGGCGGGAAAACCAAGTCCTCTGAAGCACAGGTCCCCAACCCCGGGGCTGAGGCCCACTACCGGGCCTTGAGCAGTTTGGAACCGGACCGTGAAAGTTGCAAGTGCACGACTCCCCACTTGTGGAAGCAGCATGCGAGTGCATGCGCTCCATTTGTGTGAGGAACGGGTGCGGGTGCCTGCCTCGCGCAAATGGAGCTGCGTGTGCGTGCGCTTGCCCGGCCGCTCACGCACAACCAACTCTGCCCCCCCTCCCGCCAGTCGACAAAGCTGGAAAGATTGTGGAAATCTACTCCAAAGAACCGTTGAGATAAATGTGCTAAAGAAGAGAAAGCAAAGGGAGATGTAATGAGTGTCTTCCAGCACAGGTAGTCCTCAATTTACAACTATTCATTTAGATTCTCAGTCATCCAGGTTATGGTTGTCCCAAAGGTGCTTTTTCACGAGGAAGCTGGACTTTCTTGTTTTTCTTTGAAGACGTTTCGCTTCTCATCCAAGAAGCTTTGGACAAGCATGGATGGTGGGGAATGGAAGGAGTTATACTCCTTGCAGATAGCTGGTCATTTGCATCCTTTTAAAGAGTCATTGAGGCCACTTGGGGGTTTACCTGTGCCCTCAGGGTCACCTGAGTGGTACAAATGGGTGTGGAGCCTTCTTGGCTGCAGGATGTTTCCTGCCCTGTGTCCCTTCACTGCTGAACACAGGCTCAGGCCGTTGGGGATGAGTCTGTGTTGTCTGCATCTCAAAGTGAAGTGCAAACGGTTCCTGTAGTCTGCAATGTTTTTCTGGAAATCCGTTCATCCTCCCTCACCATTCGAATGGCGTTCATCCCAAAAGTGCATAGCTAAATGACCAGCTGTCTGCAAGGAGTATAAATCCTTCCGTTCCCCACCATCCAGTCAGAGCTGAAGAAGCTTCTTGGAGGAGAAGCGAAATGTCTTCAAAGAAAACACAAGAAAGTCCAGTTGCCTCCTGAAAAAAAGCCCCTTTGGGACAACCACGACCTGAATGACTGAGAATCTCCACATACTTTCAATTTTTTTTTCAGTGGTGTTGTAATTTTGAATGGTCGCTAACCAAATAGCTGCAAGCCGAGGACTACCTGCAAAAAAAAAATGGGGGAAAACTCACTTAGCAACGTAAAATCTGGGCTCTATTGTGGTCGTAAGTCGAGGACCGCCTCTATTAAGCCTTAGAAATGGCCGGCATTTGAAACTGGAACGCAACTGTTGCGTCACAAAGAGAGGTTAATTTGTCGGCTTCCTCTCCCGTGTGGATTCTCTGGTGTCTAATAAGGTTGGTGCTTTGGCTAAAACTCTTCCCACACGCCAGGCATTTATAGGGTTTCTGCCCTGTGTGAATCCTCTGGTGTTTAACAAGCCCCGACTGATCGCAAAAGGTTTTGTCACAGTCCGAGCATTTATACGGTCTCTCGCCGGTGTGAATTCTTTGATGCGAGGTCAGGTGGGTGCTCTGGCTGAAACTTTTCCCACACTCCAAGCATTTGTACGGCCTCTCCCCTGTGTGAATGGTCTTGTGGTTAATGAGGCCCGACTGGTTGCAAAAGCCTTTCCCGCAATCCGAGCACTTGTAGGGCTTCTCCCCCGTGTGGATCCTCTGGTGCGAGGTCAGGCTGGTGCTGTGGCGGAAGCTCTTCCCACACTCGGAGCATTGATAGGGTTTCTCCCCGGTGTGGATCCTCTGATGTTGAATCAGGCTGGTGCTCTGGTTGAAGGTCTTGCCACAGCTGGAGCAGCTGTAGGGTCTCTCCCCCGTGTGGACCCTCTGGTGGGAGGTCAGCTGGGTGCTTTGGCCAAAACCTTTCCCACATTCTAAGCACTTGTAGGGCTTCGCACCGGAGTCAAGAAGCTGATATTCAGCAAGGTTTCTACTCCAATGAAAAGTCTTCCNATCATCTATCTATCTATTCATCCATCTTCTATCATCCATCACCCATCTAACATCCATCTATCATCTATCCATATCTATCCATCTAACTACCCATATCTATCCATCACCCATCTATCACCCATCTATCATCCATCCATATCTATCCATCTATCATCTATCTACCCATATCTATCATCTATCATCCATCTATCTATCACCCATCTATCAGCAATCTAACTATCTATCTACTGTATATCTTCCTTTCTCTCTCACTGGAAATCTTGGGTTCTTTTGAAGCCTATAAAATCTTTCTTTCATGTAAGGTTGCTGCTGTTTTGGCTGCATTTGGAGAACAAGTTTACTGTGAATGAATAGAACGGAGATGTCTTGAGTGGTGTCTCATAGATACTTTGAATCACAACGCCAATTAACCTTGGCTGCTCTGGGACTGATGGGACTTCTAGTCCCAAACATCTAAAAAACAGCCCAAAGGGGAACGCTGAGAGAGGGCATTTGGTAACTGGCCATTTCCAGTACATTAGCCAGTTGAAGCCGAAGCCAAGGAGAAAACAAACACAGGAGTGACGTTGGAGTAGGAGGAACTCAACAGATGCTGGATCAAGGCTGGGCTGGTTCTCCAGAACCCCTGGCGAAGCAGGAGCAGCTACAACACCCTTTATTTGACGTCTGGTTATCATTAGTATAACCTTTTCTCTGCCCAGCTTCTCATATGCTTTGACTCACCTCTTTTGACTTAGCCTGCACCAGCTTCATGACTGCAACTCTACGTCCCAAAATGTAGCTCTAATTAAGGCAGAAAGCTCAACACAAGGGAGATATCTTTCAACGATTATCTCCTAAGCTTCTTGGCCAAGGTGGAGACTTCTACCACCTTCTAAACCAAAGTCCCACCCTCTCACCTTCTTTCCACCGTGGTCCTTAGCCTCTTGTTGCCACTGAAGGAACTCTTCAGCCAGGCCCACTGCTTGGGAACAAGTCTCGGGCTTCCCTTCCCAGACCCAACGCTGGATCTCCGGAGGCAAGATGGCTAGGAATTGCTCCAGGATCAACAGCTCCAGGATCTGCTCCTTGGAGTGTCTCTCCACTTTCAGCCACCCATGACAAAGGTCTTGGAGCTGATTGTACGCTGCAGTAGGTCCCTCAGCTTCCTGGTAACAGAAATGCCGGAAGTGCTGGCGATGCTTCTCCCTCTTCAGAGTATCCCCTTGCAAGATGGCGGCTTTCACTTTCCCGTAATCCAGCCTATCGTTGGCCACCATTCTGTCCAAGACCTGTTGGGTCTCTCCACGGAGAGCCGGCAAGAGCCTGGGTACCCATTCCTCCCCGGGCCACTGGCAAGCTTTGGCCACTTCCTCAAAGGAATCCAAGAATGCCTTGGCGTTGTCCCATGGGGTGGTGGGCTCCTTTGCCGAGGGTGGGCATCTCCGGCTGGAGCAAGGGGACTCCATCTTCTTCAGAAACGCTTGCAATTGGGCTTCCCAGCAGCCTGTCACGCCCACTCTTGCTTCTTCTTTCATCCAATGGGACATTGTCCTTTGCGGAAGGTGTCCGATAAACTCAGAACGCACTGACTCCAGAGATGGGCCTTCTCCTTCCTCATCTGCCTGGGGTTTGAGGGCAACCACCGTCTGGAGGCCAACAAGAGCTTCTCTGACCTCTTCTGGGTCTTCTTCTTTTGGCCAGACTGGGAAGGGGTTCTCTTCCATTTTCATCCTGGGATGTAAGAATCTCCCAAATTAAGTTCTCGGGAGCCACGCT